TGACAAGAGAACGTGTGTCTTGCACAGCATGACTACCCATGTGTGCTCCCCAGACTACAAGGGATACACCTCTGATTATGGTTGTGTCAGGTGTGGGTGGAAAGAAAGGGACTCCTGCACGCACTTGTTCTGGGTTCATCCACCATACAAGAGAAGCCATGACCTTGGCAGGAGTTGTTACCTTGGTATTCATGTTGTCTCTACCTCTAGAGTAAACAGACAAGAGCCAGGCCTGTAAGCAATGGAGGTGAAGCCTGCTGAACAGTGTTATGCAGGTACACGAGGACATGTGACCTAAAATGGGAGAAGCAGATCTTGACTGTGGTTGGAGGTCAGAGGATTACTTGTTTTATTAGGCTGCTCATGGCCTGGAATCTGTTCATGGGGAGGTAGACTTTTGCTGAGGTTGAGTCTAGGGCTGCTTCTATACAGTCTACAGTATTTGTGGGAGTCAAAGGAGGCTTTTTTTTTCTGTTTACACAGATTCCCAATGATGCCGGAAGATGGATAAAGGATAATGTTGCTGACTGAACTTCTTGGTTGGATCTGCCCATTGGGAGACAATCATCCAAGTTATAGGAAGACAGTCTAGCCTTTTTGTCTCATCTGGGCCACCGTCATGGAGAGAACCTTCTAGAAGACCCCAGGTGCTGTTGCCAGCTTGAACAAGAAGTACACTAGAAGTATACTAGTAGTGGTCTTGTCCCACTATGAATCTGATGAATATTCTGCAGGATGGATGAATATGCACATGAAAGTAAGTATCTTTCATATCAAGAGTCACGAACCATCTGTCCTTCTCCAGGGAAGAAATTATTGATGCCCATGTTAGCAAGTGAAATTTAGATTTGCAAATAAAGATTCAACTGGTGTAGATGAAGAATGGGTCTCCACCCTCCTCTTCTCTTTGAAACTATGAAATATGGGGAGAAAAAACCCTTTTCCCTTGATGCTGAGGTTGCACTTGCTCTAGAGCAGTAGTCCCCAAATGTTTTGGGGTCACACCCCCCCTTTACTCCTGTCCACCGCCCCCCCTCAGCTGGAGCCGGGAGACATGGACAGGAGTAAGGGAGGCTGAGGCTGGGGCCACACCTGGGATGAAGGGCAGGGTGGACAGCTGGGGTCAGGTCCAGGAGTGGAGCTGGATGGCGCATCTTCCTCACCCCCAGGTGGGGCTGGACTGGGCAACAACTTCCCTCCCTCAAAATGTTCCTCTGTGCCCAACAGTTTGGGGACCTCTGCTCTATAGCCCTCACTAGAGGGAAGGGTCCACCTCCTGATGGAGGATTTCCTCATGACAGCGGTCCCTGAAGAGGGGTCAGGAAGTGGGTTTGTGGGGGGAGGGAGGAGGAAGAGGAGGAGATAAAATTCTTCACTCTCCCACTCCCACCTCCTGAATAATAACTGGAAAATGGGTATGAAACTTATTTCTGAAAGTCTGATTTAAATTTACTTAACTTTTGACATTACCTTTGCAATTAATATTTTCAATATGAGTTTTAAAAGGCAGGTTTTGTTTTAGGGCAACTCAGTGTAGCCAGTGATTCTCGGCAGCCCTGATATTCTTATGAAGTATATTTGAGTTATGAATTGAAGGGGCAAGCGCCCTGCAGTATACTGGAGTGCTTTCCATTTCACAAAACAAAGAGAGGCAAGGAACAGGGAGAATGAATTCAGTCCCACCACAATTTTCCTGTTACAGTCCTATCCCCGCCCAACAGAATGGAAATAACATTGCTACTCTTCTTGAAGAAACAAGGAAATTGGTCACATGAAAGTATGTCAGATCTTCATACATCTGTATATAGATATAGATACATATGTATCTGTACCTGAATGAAAGAAAAGTACAAAGTTGCCATAGCTAATTACTAGATCATTCCTCTATTGCATGGATAAGACATTAGACTAAGAAAAAGGCCTCGTCCTCAGTGTTAATTGTTTGGTAATCAGGCCTAAAAAGAAACCAATAAGATTAAAGCCCAGGACCAAATTATGACTTACGGATCTAACTGAAGCAAATGACTCCAGTTCCCTCAGTAAATTTCAGTCCTGAATTCCAAAGACTTCAGCAAAGCCCTTCTAGCAATAAGAAACCATTACAAACTTACTTGCTTTGTAGTCTGAATTCAGACACTGTCAGCAGCAATACCAGATACCCTGCTTCAGTTCTGCTGTGCGTGTGGTGCAAGTATGTTTGTCTAGGATCAGATGCCAATAGTTAACCTCATATTTTGAGCATGTCAGATACTTAGACGCTGTGGCCTAATTAAAGGCATCACATTCCCCTTCATTTTCTTAAAGGCAACACCAGAAGAGAGGTTTAGCTTTTTATAACAGTGCATGCAAATACTTCCATGTGTTTCTCTATGCAATAATTTTGATTTAACAGAAAAAGTTATTAAATTTGACAATAATCAAGTTATATAATTATCTGTAAACTGCTGAAAAGAGATAAGTGCTTAAATATTATGAAAACAATTAGATAAAAACCAAGGTCCAAATACTACTTTAAATTTTTTTGTTAACGCACATATGGAAAGAATATAGGGGTTGAGGTACTTTTAGCTTTAAAGTTAAATATAGGGTTGTTTTTGAAATAAGTATTGGATCATTTTCAAAAGTTCAAGTGACTTGCTAACAGAAAACCAAGAATAACTAACTTGGTAACGGGAAAACTAAAATCGTAGTATTAGTAGGACTGGTTAATATCTGGAATGCATCAACCACAAAGGATATGAAATAAATAATTCTAAGATAAAGAGGAAAAATAACAAAAGAGATATATCTTGTAACATATCTAGTATAAATAAAGACTGATCAGCCAACACTTACGATATAGTTTCTTAAATTTTATATGGATTCCCTTATGTTTGTAAAAGAAATAATTTAGTATCTTCTGTTTATTCAGCCCCATATGCTAGGTATTCTTCTGGGGACATCATTAAAAACACATCCATCATATGGACAATATGGTGGACCCAGACTTCTAAAGTATAGATTCTTCAATGAATTTTTAAAGCACACCATAACTATATATTTTGTCCATTTGAACCACATAGATATAACCCCTATTTAAGTAAATTCAGAGATCTTTTGTACATTCAGAGACTCTTTCAAAGTCTGAGAACTCTGGCACATGCTTAAAGTACACTCCTACCCTGAAAAGTGACTTACTCCAGGAATTTGCTCACTATGTATATTCAGAGTCATACCTTTCTTCAGTGAAAACACTTTACTACTTTTTGCTGCTGGTAGCCAATGCAGAATCAAGAGGATGCACCATATTCTAACCTGGCTCATACATCAATAGTATCGATAACTATGTTTTGTTTGCATTTTTAATTCAATTTGTCTTTGGATTTGGATCTAGTGTAACGGAGGACAGAAAACAATAGACTAGCAGAGATGATAATAAGGGCAAAATTAGCTTTGCAGAATTTTTGTCATTAATGAGATACAATAGCCAGAAAGAAAACAGGTGGACTTTCAGAACTCATATTGAGTTTTTAGAGCAGAGAGTTAGAAAACCCTTCATTTAAATGAAACCAATTTGAAATGCAATCATTGAGACAAACATGGAATCCCAACATCCTCATTTTTACATATTCCATTTTTAGAGGAGATATTCACTTTTATTTCCAGAGAAACATGTGTATAGATTGGAAATTAACTGGGACCATAATTGGACGATCTTTTTACACTATCTTCATTCTCCTTAATACTCCAGAACATCCTAGCATCATTTCCGTTATGAAAATGAAACTGTCTGGTAAATGACATAGTGGTGACCTCCAGCACTGCTAAAATTAAAGGTCTACTGGCATTGCCATTATGAACAAAAATTCAATTTAGTTGTTTTACATAAGTTTGCATAAGGCTAAAATATGAAATATAATTCCGTCCTTCTCCCAAGATGTGAATACAATATTGAGCTAAGACGAGGCATGTTTACTAATCCATTAAAATATGCATCAGGGTGATTATCTAAATCGCATTTATTTTTCAAAACATGTTAAGATATCTTTTACATTTCATGCTAGATCTTGTGTGTGTAACATAGAATATTAACTCATTCAATTAGAGGTCCTTCAGACAGATGAATCCTTTCCATACATATCAAGAATACAGTTCATAACATTCTTAAATATATGGAAGTTATAGCAAGAACACATCATTTCCCAAGACTACAGGCCGGAAGAAATCCTGCAGAAGGTTGAAATTACAAACACTCTAAATGACCTATTATAACGTAAACCTTAGTCTGGAAGGTTTCATTGACTTCAGTAAAATTGAATGCTTTCCCTGACAGGCACAAACTAGAACACTAAGAGTTCTGTTCACAGCATTAACTTTCTTTTCACTAAAATGTTGGTGGAATGTTTATTTATCAGTCTTTTCCTTTTTTAAAAGCGAAATTAAACCAAAGCAAACAGAATGCAAAACATCCAATTTCAAAAGTCATAAGTGGTCTAACTTTAAACCAACAAAGGCACAAACATTTCAGATCCAAGACTTAAATTCCATCCTTAACCCACCCACTTGTGCTCAGGAATTTTAATCACACACTGTTCTGAGACCCCTACAATACATAGTCACATTAGGGTAAAGTAAGGCAGGGTAGTAGCCTTACTTCTTACGTTTTGTGTTCTAAGCTTCATACTTGGTTTATTAAGGAGACCTCTCTATGCAGAATGTTACTAGTGATCTCTAGTAGAAAACAGGAAAACATCCCTTACTGTCATTAATTTTCTGGATACCTGTCAGGCAGTGCTGCTGCTTTGAGGGCTCACCGAAATGGGAGTCACCTGTTTCTGAAAGATTCTGTGTGGCCTCACCACAGCATTATCACCAGTGAAGACATGCAACACACACACACCAACAGGAAGGATGAAAATAAAGAGGCAAGACACCAGCAATGTAGAGAGGCTATGGCACATATCCCCTCCTAGATGATGATCAGTAATCATTTAAAAAATTGGAAGATAATGCGCACATACCCAATTTCAGTGCAGTAGGAGTCACCTCAATCTCACCACCAATTGGCTGAAAGGCAGCCAGCTGGGCAGCCACCTCCATCTCAAAAGGGTCTGGGCTGTGTGTGTCTGTCAAACTGCCACTGGTGCTGTCAATCTTATTGTGCAATTCTTGTTCATCGTACACAGCAATCAGCTGTAAAACAAAAGATATTACAGTTTATACTTAAAATATGGCTGACACTGATTTCCAGTACAAATATTACCTTGACGGTAGGATAAAAGTATCGAACAGATTTGAAAATGACAGATGATAGAGGCACAGATTCAGGAAACTACTTAAACATGTGCTTAAATAAACTGACTTCAATGGGACTTAAGCGGTGACCTGAAAAGAGATGCTTTTCTGAATCAGGACCACAATGTGGTGTCATCATTAGCTAGCACCTTAGTGTAGCGGAAAATTTCTCTTAGGATTTTCATTACAAACCTCCACTTAGAGAAATCCCTATTTCAGCCATAAAAAATAACTCTTAACTGAAGCACTGCTTCCATGCTCTTCTAGGCTAACTTTCAGAGACTAAAATTAGGGGAAAAAATCCAGTTGGCCAAAATTAAACACTGAAGAAAAAAAAAAAAAAAAGGATTCCAGAGTACAACACAAGTACATATAAATGAGGTATACATGACTTTCAATTGTTTTCGGTTTATCTTCTGGTAAATAAAAAAGGACAATAGATGAATATTGTGTTCTTACAATAACATAAGGTATTTATAAGACAGCATGTTCAAGAATACAAAATATCATTGAATAACCTCTTTTGTTTTTCCAGTTTTAAAATCCCAGTGTCATTTACATCAGAGAACTTTTGGGGATTAAATTTAAGGCACATGTGTCTTTTGATCCATTCTCAGAGTATCCACTGGCATCAAGGGTAGAGGATGAGACTGCAACAGTATTAACAACTTCATAATCAGTGTATTTCATTGAGGCAATTATTTCATCCTATGCTTTAAACTGACATGTTATCCACTGAATATCATCTGAAATGGTTTCTGCAGTTTAGGGTGTACGAATTTTTCCATTAATACTTAGGATTTATTAAGAGATTCATTTAGTCTATGAATAAATTTGAAAAGGGCACAAATCACTTTCTAGATCATTCCAAAAACCAAGCATTAAGGTTGGGGTTATTTTTTAATTTTTATAATTATTACATATATAGTGCGTGTGTGTGCACGTGTACATAGATATACCTTGAAGATTTGTGTCAAAAAGATACACAGAGATAAGTAAAATATTGAAGCAAAGAGACAAACATTTAAAGACACTCATTTGCCTAAGGGAATAAAGAAGTATACAAGATAAAGGAATGAGACACAAAATAAAGGAGGGAATAAGAGGAGAAAAAGCTGAAGTGCTTCTAAGGAAGAAACTGACATTTTTAGGTCTCCCACTCATTTATAATTTGGTTGCTAGAAATGTGTCAGTTCATGTTTACCAATACGTATTCCAGCAACACACAAAAAACCCTGAATAATTAGGAAGAAAACTTGCTTTCTTTTTTACACAAAGACTGTTTTCTTTCCATAACTACGCATATATTCTTACTACACAATTTGTTTTGTATTTAACCTAAACTTATTAGAAAATATTATTCTAGTAACAGATGACTTTTTTTGCAATGTAAATCATAGTAAAGTACAAGGAAACTCACCATCATAGTATCTGTGCACCTTACCAAATAGATAAATCCAAATGGGGGAACTAAAGCGAAACATGCACATCGAGACCAAGAGTATGATTGCTTTTCTTGTTTGTTAAATAACTATTAACATTAATGTCATGGGAAAGCTCTGACAAAAATGTGTCATGAATGTTGTAAAGACTGTATCATCCAAGTTCAAGAAAATTCACGGTTGTGAATTAGCTTCCCAGAAGTTAAAGGAGTACTTGTGGCACCTTAGAGACTAACCAATTTGAAGTGAGCTGTAGCTCACGAAAGCTCATACTCAAATAAATTGGTTAGTCTCTAAGGTGCCACAAATACTCCTTTTCTTTTTGCGAATACAGACTAACACGGCTGTTACTCTGAAACTTCCCAGAAGGCTTAGTCTTCAGCTCTTACAAGTCTCACCTTTCCCATGATAACTTTCCTTCATTCCTGAGGATTGCAGCTGTTACTGAGGGAGAAGGAGAGCAAGACAGCACAGGTCCAACTCACTGAAAGCTTTGAAGATCAACACCAGGATTTGAAACTCATTTTGGTATTTGATAGGTAAATAGTGAAGTGAATGGAGCATGAGTGTGATGTGATGATCAACAGGCACACTGTTCTGTGTTGCATCAGGTGGAGTTTCTCTGTGGTTTCATTCCCTGGTGCATGACAATAGTATAATATATTTCAATACAACAGCACACATATTACCATAGATTTTTATAATACTACTACTATGTAATGGTATAGCACTTTTCATCTGTAGATTTTGAAGCATTTTACAGGAGGTGAGTAAAGCATTATCATCCCCAGTTTACACATCCGTAAAGTGAGAGACAAATTAAATGAAACATTAGCTGTAATCATAATAGTATATTATTGCAATGTACTGAGAAATAAAACCACAGGTAGTGAAGAAATTCCACATGTATAACATGCAATACGTCACCCGCTGACCAACACAGGGTGACAAAACACATCACTCCCATGCTCCATTCACCTCACTGGCTACCCAACAATTATCAAATCATTTAAAGATACTAATCTTGATTGTTGAAGTTATCTACAAGCCAGGCCCTGGATGTCTTTAAAATGGCCTCTTCCCAGATACAGTCACACAGTTAGGCCTGGTCTACACTACGAGTTTGTGTCGGATTTAGCAGCGTTAAATCAAATTAACCCTGCACCCGTCCACACAACGAAGCCATTTTTTCGACATAAAGGGCTCTTAAAACCAATTTCTGTACTCCTCCCCAACGAGGGGATTAGTGCTGAAATCGACATAGCTGTTTCGAATTAGGGTTACTGTGGTTGCAGAAGCTGAAAGACTATGGCTTACCATGGCCGCCTGCAAGCTGAATTCTGTTGCCCGGCACTGCATGTGTGATCTCTCACACCAAAGCCGCAGGCACTCAATATAAGATTCAAAATGTGACCTTGTACCAAAAATCACATGTGCTATGTAAGGTGAATAGTGTTGTTCACCGTGAAAGAGTATAGCCATTGTTCTGTAAAATGTATCTCTTAAAATACTTCACTCCCTTTTATTTCCTCCAGCAGCTGCAAACATTTCAAGCCTCCCTCCTCCGTCCCAAAGGCTATCTCAGATAAGGCGGCGAAAAAAAATGCACGAGCAATGAAATGTTCTCTGAGCTCATGCAGTCGTCCGGCACTGACAGAGCTCAGCAGAATGTGTGGAGGGACACAACAGCAGAGTACAGGACAGTGGCCAATGAACGTGAGGAGAGGTGGCGGCAGGAAGATCAGAGGCGGCATGAGGCAACACTGGGGCTACTGCGGGATCAAACGGACATGCTCCGGCGTCTGGTGGAGGTTCACGAACGGCAGAGGATCACAGACTGCCACGGCAGCCCCTGTTTAACTGTCCTCCCTCCTCCCCAAGTTCCACAGCCTCCTCACCCAGATGCCCAAGAACGCCGGGGGGCTCCAGGCACCCAACCACTCCACCCCAGTGGACAGCCCAAGCAACAGAAGGCTGTCATTCAACAAGTTTTGAAGTGGCCTTTTCCTTCCCTCCTACCCTCCTCCCACCCGTCATCAGGGCTACCTTGTGAGTTATCTCCCTATTTTTATAATCAACGAATACATGTTTTTTAAACGATAGTGACTATTTCCTTTGCAAGCAAGCTGTGTTCAAAGGAGGGAGGGCTTACAGGGAATTTAGAGGCTACCGAGGGGGCAGGTTTTCATCAAGGAGAAACAAACAGAAGTGTCACACAGTACCCTGGCCAGTCATGACACTGGTTTTCAAAGCTTCTCTGATGCGCAGCGCTTCCTGCTGTGCTCTAACAGCCCTGGTGTCTGGCTACGCGTATCCAGCGGCCAGGCCATTTGCCTCAACCTCCCACCCTGCCATAAACGTCTCCCCCTTATTCTCACAGAGATTGTGGAGCACACAGCAAGCAGCAATAACAATGGCAATATTGGTTTCGCTGAGGTCTGAGCGAGTCAGTAAACTTCGCCAGCAACCCTTTGAACATCCAAATGCACACTCTGCAACCATTCTGCACTTGCTCAGCCTATAGTTGAACAGCTCCTTACTACTGTCCAGGGTGCCTGTGTACGGCTTCATGAGCCAGGGCATTAAGGGGTAGGCTGGGTCCCCAAGGATAACTATAGGCATTTCAACATACGCAACAGTTATTTTCTGGTCTGGGAAGTAAATCCCTTCCTGCAGCTGCTCAAACAGACCAGAGTTCCTGAAGATGCAAGCGTCATGAACCTTTCCCGGCCATCCCACGTTGATGTTGGTGAAACATCCCTTGTGATCCACCAGTGCTTGTAGCACCATTGAAAAGTACCCCTTGCAGTTTATGTACTGGCTGCCCTGGTGGTCCGGTCCCAAGATAGGGATATGCATTCCATCTATAGCCCCACCGCAGTTAGGGAATCCCATTGCAGCAAAGCCATCTAGTATGACGTTTCCCAGAGTCACTACCTTTGATAGCAGCAGCTCAACGATTGCACTGGCTACTTGCATCACAGTAACCCCCACAGTAGATTTGCCCACTCCAAATTGATCTCCGACTGACTGGTAGCTGTCTGGCGTTGCAGACTTCCACAGGGCTATTGCCACTTGCTTGTGAACTGTGAGGGCTGCTCTCATCTTGGTATTCTTGCACTTCAGGGCAGGGGAAAGCAAGTCACGAAGTTCCATGGAAGTAACCTTACGCATGCGAAAGTTTCGGAGCCACTGGGAATCATCCCAAACCTGCAACACTATGCGGTCCCACCACTCTGTGCTTGTTTCCCGGGCCCAGAATCAGCGTTCCACAGCAGGAGCCTGCTCCAAATTGCCGGGGATCGCGGTTTTAGAAGAATCTGTGTTCATGACCTCATCACCGCGCTGCCGTCGCCTCCTCGCCTGGTTTTTCAGGTGCTGGTTCTGCATAAACTGCACGATAATGCGCGAGGTGTTTACAATGGTCATAACTGCTGCGGTGAGCTGAACGGGCTC